TAAAGCGCTTAAGATATAGCATTTGCAAAGAAAATCTGCCTGCTTCCACGCCTCAACAATCATAAATTTCTCGTTGTCCGTCATGTCCGCAGCAGGCACTGGAGGTTCTTCACTAGTGAATTTCTGCATACCAAGTGTGGTAAGCCAGAAGAACACCCTTTGCTGCCATCCTTTGAAGTTGGCTCCGGAAAATTTCTCCGATTTCTCTGCCGGTGGAACAGCAGTCCGGCTTGACGAGGCTATCGTCGTTGCCGCAATAGTCACAGAAGAATTTCCGTTATCAATTGCCATTTTTCACTGTAAATAATAGAAGAGTTCAATTAATGGCAAAATCAGAACAGTACACAATACTGTTATTAACAACAAAAAAAATAGTATGTATAAAACTGAAGTTTTTATATACTGTTTTACAGAAAAATGATGAAATTTTTATGTTCTTCAAATCGTCTTACGAATTTCAATACTCTGATGAAGTTTTTATATCTTCAAATCAGAATAGTAAAATTCAGAAGGAGTAGAAAACCACACAGGTTTTAATCTCCACAAACAAAATACAGAATATANNAAAACACACTGGAAAATATTGTGCAGAAGAAGAAGAAGAAGAAGCTCAGAAAATTTCGTAAGGAAAGATTCTGGGATTCAAACTCTATTTATAGAGTTCATGGCTGCGGGTCATGGGTTATTCCGGATTGAACTTTTTCGTTAATTATTTAATTAATTAATTGAAAGGAATTTTGTCCAAAAAGATTAATCAATCAATCGTTGACCAAATCTGAAGCCGAGCGAGCGACGACGACGACGGCGCGAGGCTTGCCTTTTTCTTAACTCTTTAAGAGCTGGAAGAAGAGCAATTATATATATACCCATCAAAAGTCTTTTCTTCCTCCGATATGAGACAATATCCCTTTCCCAAGGGAAACTCAAATATTTTATTTTCCCTCCATTTCTTATTCACCCTCTTTAAGTTACACAAGCTTAAAATCCCAACATGCTTGAATGATGTGAACATCTCACCTAAACGGTTAAAAGAGAGCACAAATATACACGTTTGAAACCACTCCCAGCCGGATGCAAGCTGACAATTTACAATAAATATCACGGAAACATCTGCATGAGCAAGCACAAAATGAGCATTTTCGGCTAGTTTGGAGTTTAGGAGTTCTCTATAGGAATGCAAATGCTGAACTTCACCCCTCTAGACTAAAGTATAGTATAGACTATGGAGTTCAAATTCTCAGTAGGAACTAAAATCATTGAAATAGATGGAGGTGGGGAATTAATGGGAGGAGGGGTTCACATGTCAGAAACAAGAATTTCACGGACGAAGAAATGGGTGGAAAAAGCCACAAGAAAAGGACACAAGCAACCTATTCAACCTCATGTGTTCCCTTACAAAAATCCACTCGCCAATCTTGTCCCTTTTATAACACCACATGCGAACCTGTCTCCTCAGTCCAGATTCCCAACTATTTTGTGCCACCTATCATTCCCATCTTTCTTCTTTTTTGATAATAATCCTTCAATCATAATACCAACTTCCTCAAATATTCCTCCATTCCAAAATTGTTAGCATTCATTTCCCTCGTCATTAATGGCTTCCACTTCCATTTCTACTAGGCTATTCTTGATTTGGGTTGTTATTTTCTTGGCCTGCCAAAATACTTTTCTCTCATTGGCCTTGAACAGAGCATCTTTGTTAAATATACCAGCTTCTACTATTTCAGCTGCACCTGCATTGTTACCAAATCCACCTTTATCTTCACCTCCACTACCTGCTCTTTCTCCTGATATAAGTCCTCTTTTTCCTTCACCAGGTGGCTCTGAGCTTGCTCCTACTGATTCTGCACTGCCCTTAATTCCTTCTAGCCCCAGCCCTCCCAATCCAGATGCTATGATTGCTCCTGGACCTACATTTTTTCCGTTTTCGCCTTCTGAGTCTTTGCCAGTTGCTTCTGCAGTTCCTCTGTTGTCATCTCTGTGTACAATGCTGGTACTTGGTCTAATCTCATTCTGGTTTACGCAGCTCCACGGTGTGTGAAGGTTCGAGTATGTTTGTCCATTGTTGGTTGTGTCTTTTAAGGTACAATTGATAGAGTTTAACAGTTTTCTCTTCTATTATGTACTATACTCTTTCTCATCTTCTTTCAGTAGTGTATAATTTTGTTAGGCTTCATTTCTGAGGTGTATTACATTTTCATTAAACAAATTAATTGAGATTTCACATGTCTTGTGTCAAACTAGAAGGGAATAAACATGATTTTGTTTGGTTTGTCTCAAGATTTGCATTCTGGTTCTTTCTTTGGATGGGTATATTATGTAGTTTATTAAGGACATACATAGCTGATGTGATTTGCTAACTATATGTTATGGTTATTAATGAAAACTTTGCAGTATCCAAGAAATGAATGAAAAACTGTACTTAATACTTTATATATTACGATACTACAACAAATTGTTCTTACCATAATAACATCAAGAATGACTTAGGAGTACTAGAATAGCAAATGTAATAAGAGTACTTCAAAATCCTACATACATTAACTATATCACTGCTTCTAGACAACAACAAGAGTATAAAGAATGAAGCAATTGTACAAACAACAAAACTACAGTATCATTCAATTCGCAGCCTCTGACTAAGTAGATCAATTGAAGAGCCTCTTCCAAAACCCCTCTTGTTTTGATGTCTTGAGCTCAATACAAAGACTTTCCTTCTTTGGAGATGCCTTAGCAACACTCTTTCTCAGCATAACATTTTCCTCCCTCAGCAAATCCACAGCTAAACTGAGTTGTCTGATGACCTCTCTTTTCTCTTCATCTTTCTGCATTAGAAGCTCCTGCTGCACTTTGCTCTCTTCTTTCAGCCTCTCAATTTCTTCCTTCAGCTTCAGTACTTCATCATTGTTGACGCAAAAGCCACTTGATACCTCCACTGTTTCCTTCCCTGGTCGGGGAGTCTGTATTTCTTCTTCTTCTAAGTCAGGATCCTCGACCTCAGACATATCATCGGATAACTCAGACTCAGGATCAAAGGTTTCTGAATAACTGTCATAGGATTTTTCCGTGGAGCTCCTCATCAATTTCTCTTGAGGATACTTGGTGAAAGACAACGGAGACATCCACGGTGTTAAAAGGCGAGTACCAGATTCACACTTGATTTGATCATACTTCTCAGCCAACAACCGATGGGCCCTGTAGAATTCCTCAACCATGTTAATGAGCTGCGGTCGCTTCTTGTAATACATCTCTGCTCTTTGGGCGAAGGAATCAGCATCTTGTTCAACTAGCCTCAGCATGGCCTCTGTCTTCTCATCTAGTTCTGCAACAATATCCAATTTCAACAAGCTATATAAAGCAGGTCCAGAGGACCTTGCTAGCCCAGGATACTTAACAATCATCAACTTTAATTAAACAATTAAAAGAGAGAAAGAGGTTTATACATAACACTGAGGTAGGGCCAAAAGTTGACTCACTTTCAACATGCTATGATGAAGAAAATTAAAGACCAAAAGCAAGAAAAGATACTAACTTCTAAGTAAAAAAAATTACTCACAAGTCACAACTGCTCCAAAAGTGGTGTACATTTTGTCCAACTGGACTATTAATTGGTCCACCTTATAATTTGGTAATCAATTGATGATTAGAGATTAAAAAAACAGGATAACCAAAACCACGTTAGAAGCTTTTGCTTCTGCTTTAAAGTTTTCATTCCATTAATTGAACCACATTTGAGGGACACGAGGCATATATATAAAAAGTCATAAAGCCAGGCTGCAATTACAATGTTAAAAATATGCATAGTAGACTGTTTAAATACACTAGGAGAAAATACGGAGAAGATTGCCTGTCTATCTGGACCAGATTCAAGGACTAGTAGACAATAATTACCAAGTAGGACTAGAATTACACACTATTTGGATGAGCAAATGTTCACTACCCTGGCAAAAAGAACCAAGAACGCGGGCCCCTTAATAACTGAGGGTTCTTGTTCACTCGAGCAAATGCTGTATACCGCTATAGTCGCCAAGATTTTTATCATCTTAGCTCAGGTATTCAGTATGTCATAGATCCATCCAGGAGCTAATGTACAGGATAAGGTATTTGTTTAGCAGAACCAAGTAGTTTTGACCCAAATTGTGTACGTATTAAGAAATTTACTAAATATGTACAAATATTATACATTGAACCCAATAACTCAAATAATCAGCTGGTTCAATGGCATCTCGGACCCATAAAAGTACAAATCATGGATCCGACTCTGAATCCATCCAGTACAAACTACTATTACCACTGCGAACGTACTATTGGAGTTTGAACATGGGTTTTCAGGAAACTTAAAGAAAAGGAAAGACTGTATTGTCCGGTTCCTCTTCACTCGACATGGTTTTAAAAGGTCCTAGAGTTAACAACAGAGCCAATGTGCACCATTTCAAACAAGTCTAGCTATATACCGTGACTGAGTAAGAAAACTAGCCGCTGTGTTTCCAAACATATCAGCTAACAAGTTGAAGAATTCTGTGTAACAAAATTAAAGTGCCCAAAAACCAATCAAACTGAAGCAATATGAAAAACAAAAGGTCACAACTTTTCTCTTCTTTGTTGAAAACAAACACAAAAAGATACTCTATATCGTAGACAATTAATTTTTAAACCTTCCAACAAGCACAAAATGATCAAAGTAGCAGGCAAAACACATTTAACTGAAAACCCCTGTTGAAAATTCAAAGCTTTTTGAAAAGGTCTCTAACGGTCATTTATTCACTTAAACAAGAACAAACTCAAAATTGGAAGCTGTTCACCAAAGTCTATAAAAAATTTGAACTCTAGTGCTACACATAGAAAAGAGGAAGAAAAAGAGTAATTTCTGACCGGCCAGAGTTGAGTGAAGCCACGGCGAACGATTTGGAGTGCTCTTCTTCTGAATGTCAAACCACCACCACTGTGACGATAGCTTATCCTTTCCCTCCACCACCATTTTCTTCTAATAAAAATTACTATAAATTAAGCACAATATTTAAGCTAGTAAAAAAAAAAGAGAAAATATATAGATGCGCCACAAAACATTCAGTAACTGAAAAAGCTCACCTGAAATTTAAAAACATTTAAGACTCATTACTATATTTAAAGTGGTAGTACATTATATACACTGATTTTAAATTATAGATCAGCTTTTTTGTATTATTGGAGAATGCAACTCACCTGAAAAATTAATCTTCAAACAATCCGAAGTTTGAACAAAAACGGCGACGAAAACTCTGAAACTCCCTCCCTCACTCTCTCTCTCTCTCTCTCTCTTCTCTTTCCCCACTGCTTTGAACAGAGGAGAAAATTTAAATGCCATAACTCAACGGCCTCGGTTTTTGTACTTTGTTTTATCCTCGTCCAGTCGGAGTTTGCCACGTGTTACTCGGGTATCCATTCCCAGTTAATGGGCCACGTGGGCCCGGGTTTGTAGTAAAGGTTTGTACTTACTTTATCACTGGGAGTGGGGGAGCGTCCGATATAGAAAAGGAAAAAGTATAATATACAACGGTCGAAAATTGTAATCAGCGGTGTGTGAAATCCTATTAATTTTTTTCCATATATTATACTTTAATATAATGATCTAGTGGGAAATATTTTCAATTTTCAATTAAAAATCTTATGTAAGCATCACAAACATGTTCACTACCGGGACCCACCTCAAATACAAACAGTAACTTGAATTGCATGTGATTCTCTTATATTAGAAGCAACATTTAAGCTTCTTGTGCTGCCTGTGTGGCAAATGCAGATGCAGGGTTATTATTGTCTTTTCAACTTTATTTCAAATGTAACTGTTTACAAAACATGGGCCCCATTAGACTTTGCAGTGCACACATATTACATAGTAATAATAGATAATAGAAGTGGGCCTCACCTAAACTTTTCTCATTTCACTTTTCATTTACATTTGCAACCTGTTAGCCGATTTAGAAATAGAAGTAGTTTTAATATTTTTTTTTATAAAAAATATCCTTAATAAAACATAATATATATATATATATATATATATATATATACCAAAATAACCGTTAAACTTAATACTAAAGATATTAATGTATAAAAATTTTTTATTATTTTTAGAATAACTTTTTAATATATAGTGACTTTAGGGATGAATGTTTTTATATTTGTTGAATGATTTTTAATATATTTAACTTATATTAAAAGAATTAAGTATTTTTAAATTTTATTTTCATATTTTACTTAAATAAAATAAAAATAATAATTATTGTCTGTAATAACAAATTTTTAAGATTATTTATTTACTTATAATATTAACTATTAAGTAAATCTATTCATGTCTTTATTCCTAATTTGATACTTAAAAGCACTTTCTGAAAAGTTGGGCCAAACGCAAATTATTGTTCAAAAGTGCTTTTCAGAGTGATTAGCCAAACACAAACTGTTTCTCTCCAAAAGTATTTTTTTCAAAAACACTTTTGAAAAAAAAAATATTTCTCAAAATAAGTTAGATTTCTCCAACTTGGCCAAACAGGCTATTACTCCATCCATTTTTATTTATTAGTATTTAACTAGCATTTTTTGTTTAAAATGATAAATTAACAACACAAAATCAAACTCGCTACCCATTATAAGTAATTATTTAGTAATCAAATCTACCACTCCTTGCGTTTAAAAAAGAATGTACTTATTTTCTTTTTAGTCGGTTTGAAAAGGATAATCTTTTTCTAAATTTGAAAAATATAATTTTAAGCTCCCATTGTATCCTTAATAAGATAATTTGTAGTTAGACAATTATTTATAATTACTTTAGATCATAAATTTTAAAATTTTCTTTTTTTTTTCCTTAAACTCTGCACCCAAACAAATAAGTTCAATTCAAAAAAAGCAAATAAAGAGGTAATATACTATAGCTAACCAGTTTTACGTAATAATATAAATAAAAAATTATTAAAATAATTTAATAAATTTAATGTATAATAATAAGGTAATATACACTGCTAAATAGCTTTACGTAGGTAATAATTTAGACAAAAAATTTTAAAATGATCTAATGAATCTAATGTAGAACAAAAATATAAAAATATTTTGTTACCAGTCCGGCAATTTAAAGATACTAAGACTGATAAAGTACAAATAACATATAATATAGTGATCATTTTAAGAAGAAGAAAAAAAGTAAATCAAGAACTCTTTAAGAATATATTTTTTTCTAAATATCTTATTTCTTATAGTATCTATTTTGTTTGAAATTTAGAGGATGAAAAATTAATCATCATTTGGCGCTCTTTGTTAGTTGGTTTGCTATTTATTTATAAAAGATCAACAAATCTATTTAGTCTATATGTTGAAATCATCATATTTGTTGCAATCAATACATATAATGCTTAAAACCTAAAACTACTTAGAAAGATCAAACATTAAACCAAAATGCTTCAAAATACGTATCACTCTTAGTTAATAAGTTAATGATTTAAAAAACCTCATAAACTATATATCACCTCTTTTGAATATCATATTAAACTATTCCATGGCTAAAATATACTCTCCAAAGATACTAAAACTTTTACCAAGCGACACTACACATGTTAATAAAAAAAATTACATGTCATTAAATGTGAGTAAAAAAAAAATTAATGTTAATACCAGTTTTATTTAAAAATCAAGGTAAAAAGAGGGGATAATCATTTCTTCTCCAATTCGACGAGAGTCATTATTTCTAATCCTCGACAAACATTGATGTTCATCCTGATAAAGATGTAAATTTTCAAATATCTTAAAGGAAATCAAGAAAAGTGTGTTCAAGAAGGTCTCTTGATAAAATTAGAGCATTTATGCGAGAAGAAATCGGATGAATTTCAAACTACATCCAAGATTTTTTCTAGAAAGTGAGTAAAGAGAAATAAGGAGGATAAAACAGAAGCCTAATTACAAAAAAAAATTGAAGAGAAGGAAAATGAAATAATAAAATAAATTTATCATCTAGAAAGAAAAAAAGACTGAAAAGATCCACTACTAGAAAATAGACCTATAGCAATGCCTGAAAAACCATTGTCACAACAAGCAAAACCGTTACAATAGACCTATTGGAACGGTTATGGGACCGTCGCATCAGATCGCGTGCCAATAGGTCTATTGCAACGGTTTCTCGTGACGGTTCTAAGATCGTTGCCATAAGCATGTCTTTTGCAACGGTTACAAAATGTTGCCATAGGCGGATTGGAACGGTTGTCTTGTCAAATAGAACGGTTCAAACACGTTGCAATATTGTTTTATGTACTGATTGTTGAAGCTATTGCAACAATTATTATGAGCTAGTGCAACGGTCACCACAAGCTATTGCAACGGTTTGGTGGTTTTATACCACATTTATTTACCTATATAATAAATTATGTAAATCTCAAAAGGAAACTGCTCATCAATATATAAAATTATATCTAAAATATCCAACTAGTATTATCTATATATAAAAGCTAAATATACAATGTCGTTAGGCAATTCAAGAGTTAATACATAAGTTGACAAAAGTTTCTAAAATAAAAGATTCTAGAACATCTAAAAGTCTAACAACAATCAACCAATACTCTTGAGTAAGATCTTCACAACTTTCATCTATCCTTGTTCATTTGCTTCACCTATAAAACCATTAAAAAAATCAATCTTTGTCAGATTTGGAATTACATGAATTAATTAAAAAAAGTCAAAAAATAAAGTAAGCTGAAAGCTAAGATATAAAATAGTGAGGTCCTAGATAAGCGTTGCTATTGTGGAATAGGGAATAGTTTAAGTACTCAACCAAGCATTATTTTTTATGCAACAAAAGAATTCATTATGCAAATTGTGCTCAAGTTTTCTTCTCTAATTGTTACTTGAAATGATGGAAAGAGGTATAAAACTACCAAAGCATAAGTAATATAACATAGAATGATTTGCTACAACAAGATGATGGTGAATTTCTACACGCACAGAAGGCCATATAATTTGACAGCTTTTTCTAACATATGGTCCATCATCCAATTGACCAGTCCAACCCAGAAATATTTAAACTGCTATATTGATAAATGGAGCTAAGTTCAAAGTTTTTCACCTGAAAAAGTACTAACAAGAAGCTCAATTTCTCAATATAATTTATTATTCACTTGGAAGCATAATCGTCTAAATGTTGAAGTACATACTACTAACAATCCAAACTGAAATTTTGACATAGTTGAATGCCCAGTCAAAAGAAAGGTAAAGATAAAATTAGAAACTAAAAACTATAGTTGTGACATCAAGAAATAGATTGCAAAAAGAACTGTCAGATTCAGCACAACAAGAATAAAGGATTATGCAAAAACATTATGATTCAAAAGCGTGTTAACTGCATTGTACGTCCTCATCACAAGTACCAACTATGATAAAGAAGAATCTCAAGGAATTTAGGCAAAGTCCAAACAGAGATGAACTTTGTATTATCTTAGATTGGAAGAAAACTTGTGGTAGTACAAGGAGCGTAGCAATATGACCAAACACATCAAGATGTCAAAGAAAGATAATAATTTAGCTAATTTTACCACTTTCATAGTTGATGTTTGAAGGCTTAACAGTCACCTTCAATAATGATCACTACCTCAGTCTTAATTTCAAGCTCGCGTAAGTGGAAAAAGAAATGTAAAGGAATAAAAGGGTAAGAAGATTAAGAAAATGGGTATACCTTCAAGAAGGCCATAGTCGGAGATAAAGCCAATTGCAAACCTAACAAAATGAAAATATAACAATTGAATTAGCAATTGCTACTGGCAGCCAACGGAGTTACAGGCAAATGAAAATATTATAAGTAAATTACATCACGGTGAAAGCTATTCAACTTTATATCTTAGTTAAGAAAAGATTTGGAGAAAGGGAACTTTTTCGACAACTATTTCACTTCCCTGCATCCACAAATGCACTCACAGATCTAAGAGGTTGCTATTAAGATCGAAACCACAGTTTTAAGATGTTCACTCCACAAATTCCAAAAAAATGGTTTAAGATCGAAATCACTTCAAGGTACGCAATCTTCAAATTCTATTAAATCATAACAATTAAACATAAATTAAGAAATTGACAAACAAGATCAAATTGTCGTTTTCGCTTTCAGAAAATATATTTTGTTCTTCACAATAAAAATAGATGAAGAGGGACCTCCAGTAGTTAAATATTTTCTATTCTTCTACAGGTTAAAACAGCAATCTCCAATTACATTGGGAAAACAATCTCCAGAAATAATATATAGTTCTTCATAATACAAATAGTTTGTGCCTCAATCCCACAAAAGTGCATTACATAAACTATGTCTAACACTTGG